GGGTCTGGCTATATGGAGCCGCGCGCTCGTGGCGGAGGGGTCTGGCCGCACAGAGGAGATGAACGTGCTGACTAGGTCGTGCGGAGGGTGTCGCGCGCGGAAGGGTCGCGGGCTTAGGGGGTCGCGCGCGGAGACACACCATCGGCAACGCGCGAATGGCAACCGGCGACGCGCGAACGGCGACCGACGACACGGGCCGGCATTGACAGACCTCCAGGGACGAACGAAGATGAGGTGAACATGTTTTTTTCTATTTTTTTTTTATTTTCATAAATCTGCTCCACATTCCACGTAGATCATTTTAACCAATCAAAATTCTCTTGACAGTGCTAAGCACCGTGCCTTGTACAAGCAACACCAAAAAAAATTTAAGCAACTCAAATGCCATGTAGGATCACTCCAATGACAGTTTCTAACAAGCACCATTGCTTATCAACAAGCAACACTCTAAGCACCTGCCGCTGGAGGTGCTCTAAGTAAAGAAGTGAGCCTCCATTAAAAGAATACTCCCTCTGTTTTTTATTCGGTTTAAGGTTTTGCACGAAATTTAAGAAAATGATTGATATTTTAATTTTCAAAAATATTTATTACTTACTTTCCTATTCTACCTTCTATTTTTTTTTATAGTATTTCATTGGAAACGTATTGCTCTTTTAAATGTAACATTAACTTTATATAGGTAATTGGAGAAAAAATAGGTAAACATTAGAAATAAATAGGCACATTGTTCAGTAAATATATATTAATTATTAAGGGTAAAAACGAGAAGAAAAAAAATTAATAAGTCATTGATTTTAGTAAAATAACAATAAAAAAATGATAAATTCTGACAAAATGACTATAAATAAAAAATGGAGGGAATATAATTGTTGTTGATTGAATGAAAAGATGTTGAAGACAACATGTATTTATGAGATAAGCATGAACTAACTAATCCTAACAAACTGAAGCTAACTACCCTAATTAACCATGTAGGTGGAGTGTCTAATTGCTAAGTTCATTCAGTCACAATAATTGTATTTCATGCTGAGTTCTGCAATTTCTAACGATAGAAAACCACACCAACGCAGATCGAATACATGTGTTATTCTATTATTGTTTATGTGAAAATTAGAAAAAAGAGAAGATCTATAAATTTCAGTGTTTCTCGGAAATCATAGTAAATGGTTCGTATATCATTATTAATAATTTGTCTGATTTTCTTTTCGTTCAAAACAGTATTATTTACTCTTTCATGTTCCCAGTTAGTACATGCTATTGTCAATTAGTCTTGTCACTAACTACGCCCAGTCTCACTTCTAGTGTCTTCTCTGTGCTGCGACCTGCGAGCACCGAGGTACAAATTCTCGGGTATGCAATGCATTCGAGAAGCAGAACTCGTGCATGAAGCTTGCTGGAAAGATCCGCAAAGTAGTTGATACCAACCTGCAGTCATGACATGATCCAAAGATTGAAATCTTTTCCCCCATGTTTTATTAATTTTATGAAGGTTGAAAAATAAAATTAAGGGCAGAAATTCCACTCCTCTTCTCACTTTGACTGCAGCTAATCCGTAGCCAAAAAGACTAGTCCAAATAGGAATAACAAAAATTCGAAATAGCACGTAACAACTCTGATGAACTTTCTAACAAATAGAATATATAAATGGAGATATATTAAGTAGGCGATTTTATTAAGGGCATGCTTTCATTACAGGCATTGAAAAAAAAGGTTTATCTTTCAGATGGAGTTTTTAAAATAAAGAAATAAATGTAATGATTTGTAATACATAATAAGAAGAGAAATAATACTTGTCACCTTAAACTTTGTGATATACAAAAAAGACTAGATGATGGAAAGTGTATTTACAAATGGGGGTGAAAAATCATTTTCGAATAAAATGCACGTCCCCTGATTGCTGATCAACATGCTTAATCCATCTATGTCGCGAGGTGGTACCGTGAGAGGAGGCAGAGACGTGCGCCATGTCAAGGCCCTTGCCAACAGGAAGAAAGACCGAACGAAGAAGGCGGCGGGAATTGGAAGCTTGCGCTTGTGCCACCAGGCTCCGCCACACGAAGCCCTTGGCCTTGGAGGCAGAAGTGGCGTTCTTGCACAGCAACACCGCGCCCCTACTACTCAACTTGGCCAGCCTCACCACGCGCGGAAAATCCTTCCTCCGACCATCCACCACCAAGAACTCCACGCCGACCAGACCCTCCATCACCTCCTCCGCTTCCCCCACCACGATCTCCGCCGCCACGCCCGCCTCGCCCATCCGCTCGGCGTACTCGGACCTGGCGCGTTCGTCGGCCACCACGCACACGTGTCTCCCGCACGTGTGGCGCCTGGCCACTGCTAGACCGACGCTGGTGGCGATCACCCCGCCCTGCGACCACGTCTCCACTATGAGCTGCGCGTTCCACCCCGCCGCCATCGCCGAAATAAACTCCGCCACTCCTGATTCGCGGGAAACCTCACACTGCACAAAACATAACATAACATGTTTGTTATTACAACACACAACGAGGAACACAATCAAATTAAATTAAATTAAATTAGCGCTTACGGATTGGACTGTGTCTATGTATGCTTTGGAGGCTCTCTCCGGTGACCAAGATAGTTTCATTATATTTGTTGTGAATTGTGATGTGCGTGTTTGTGTGAGTGCTGGGTTTGGAAAGGGGGTGTGGATTTAATTTATGTGCGCGATAGAGACCGTTGACATTTCATGCTTTGGTATTGGATTACGATAGCGCTCCCAAGACCAAGAAACTTATTACCTTACACTCACACCTCATTTTCTCGGTGCGGGTAGCGGTGGATCCACGTGCCAATCACAATTACTATTTTACTCCTATTTCCCACTATCCAACTTTTTCATTCCCTATAATATATGTTGTTGCTGGTTTTAGATTTTAGTGCCACTTTTCTTCTACTTGTAATTCTACCCTTGTGGACCAAGCCCATTCTCCTCATTGGCCAATGCCATCAAAAATATCAACAAAATATCAAACCTCCCTCTCTTCATATTCATTACGCCTTCTCTTTATCTAAACTATTTTTCTTTTTTCTTTTTTTGTAAACACATATTTCAGAAATTATCACAATTTAATTATTATTATTATTATTTTTTTATGTTTATAAGTAATGACTGTGATCATACTTTCCAATATCTAATTTTGTTTTGGAAATTAGTTTTGACGAATAATTTGGGAGTTAAAATTTTTTTCTTACAATTTCTTGTATTAAATGCAAGTTTTAAAAATGATATCGTTTTGATACATTATTATTTTATAGCTAATATCCAGAAGGAGTAGGATGGAAGACATTGAAAATAGTAATATGGACGTAGAAATAGGAAAAATGGAGAAGGAAAATGGTCAGATGGAGACCGTTTAAAATAGTTCCAGAAAGAAATACTTGTCATGGGGTATCTGAGATCACTGCATCCGTAATTAATAACTCAGAACTATCTAATGAATGAATAGGACTTGAGCCAAGTCCTAGTCCTATTCAAAAGAAGCAAGCACCCAATTTACGAATAAACAACTTCATTGCTCATCTTATTAAATTTGGCCATGTAGAAGAAACAATAAGGTCAATGTTGGCTAAGATGTTAATTAATTAACGTCAGCGCTTAGGTTCTCATATTCCTCTCATCATATTTAATTAATATATTTTATAATAAAAATATTATTAAATAGATTTGAATCAGTATCCTTAAACAGTCGTTAATAGGCAAGAATGAATGAATGACAAAAAGAAAAGAGACTATTTTGACCTGCACATAACAATAAATAGTGGGCGGCATGCTTTCCAACTCTAAACAAGTCATAAACTTATCCGTACGTACGTTCACATGATATAGTATTCATTTCTGCTAATTTCAACTTCTCCTTCCGTTTGTCCCAGTAATGTAAGCCAACTAAGCCGACGCCTAAATTGAAATTCAATATAACCAACTAATTGAGAACGAGTGAATCACGGATTTTATTAATCTCCAAATTTTTAATGACATAATCAAACAGAACAAAATTTATTTAAGAGAGTGTTTAGCGCAACTCAGAAAATTTATTTGTCTAATTTTAATTCAATAATAAGGGGTTCCTTGGTGCCAGCCTGTCAATGACCCTGATCCAGACGCAAGAGAGGTTATTGGGTCAAAACAAATTGAGCAAGTAGCTATTGGTGCATGTAACATGTCTAATGGTTCACGGATTTGTGTGGGTGGTAATTATGGGTGTTCATGAATCATGAGTCATGACTGATGCATTGCCTCAAGTTCTTAATGCGCGTAGATACATGCAAAACATTTCACTATCAACGCAGTTGTGTCACTGTACATTTTTTTTTTTTTAAGTTAGGAAAGATTATAAAGATGGTCGTAATAAAGATTGAACCTAAGTTCTCATATTTCTAACTATCCAATCTCTCCCCACCCAACCACCAGGCTAATCCTAATGGTCGTGTCACTGTACATAATATAATGGTATATATGGTAGGCCTCACTTCGCATTGCGGAATGCGCGCCAAGAGAAAAAGTACATCACTTTACTTTCTCAACCTACACTTGTGTTTGGGAAGGTTCTAAAAAGATAGATTATTTTTAATAATCGATTATTGTTGTAATGGAATATAATCAAAATAAAATTTTGTAGGCATATTTTTATTGAAAAATAATTTTAAAATGTTTTATTTTATTCAGTTATAAAAAAAAATGTATAATGGAAAAGGAAACAAAGAAATGGTTGTTACGAAGGAGGCTAAGGTGGGACGGTGGAAAAACTCTTTTTTGTTGCGTGTGGGCCGTGGAGATTTTTCTTTTTCTTTTCTATTTGGTATCGTGTACTTTCTTGAGTTGGGAAGTGAATAACTCATTTACTGTAGACGGACTTTATTGACCAATTTAAAACTCTCGTCTGTCCATAAACTATTATAATGACATTTAATTCATTAACACAATATATATATATATATGTGTGGTGGTTTGATTTCCGATCCTAATATCTAATTATTTATATGTAATTTTTATTATATTTATAATTTATTTATATTTAAATAATAATTAAATTTTATAGCTTTTATGTATGTAAATCTATTACTACAAATTTTATATAATGAATTAATAAAAAATTAATTCAGAATCGTGTTATAAAATTAAAAATAAATATTTTTTAAAGAATTAAATTAATTCAAATATTATAATAAAATAAATAATTTAATAAATAAAAGATAAAAATAAATATAAAAAATAAGATAAAAAATTAAAATTTTTAATTTAATTTAAATTAATCTATCAATTAATACAATAAAATATTTTTAATATTACATTATATGCCTTTTAATTATTATTTATTTTATTTTAGAATTAAGTTATGAAACAAAATCTATCTTTAATTACAAGATTAATAGTGTTGTTCTTTAATTAGAATTAAAATTTCATCTTAATAATACAAATACAAATATATATTAATAAGATTTATATTAAATATAAGTATATGTTATTTATAAAATTTTAATTATGATATCATCAAAGTGGAGCTAAGTTTTATAGTAAGTTTTAAAATTTAAACCCTTGCTCGAGCTTTTGTGCCTCTTTCTTTCACCGTGTCTTCAGCTTATATGCCTTGTGTAAGTTGTACGAACAGCTGAATGGTTCAAAAGGTACACTAACATAGGGGTAGAGCTGTCAAAATGGGCAAACCCCGTTCATGTGGGCTGGTCCACCTTGACTCACTTTAAAAACGAGTCAACCCAACCCGGCCTACTTGTGATTTTCTATAAAAAAAAAAAAATTTGGCCCGGCCCGACTCACCACAGGTTGGTGGGTTATATGGGCCAGCCCACCAGCCCACCAAAAATTAAAAAAAAAATTATCAACAAAATTTAAAATTTAAAATTAATTATAAATTAACATAATAGTCATAAAATTAACATCATTAATAGTTATAAGTCATAATTCATCATACAAAATTAAATACAAATCATGATAAAAGTCTAAAATAAAAATTTTCAATATACCATCATACAAAATTAACTACAAATCATACTTAATTTTTTATTAAAAAAAAATGGTGGGTTGGTGGGCCACCTGGTCCACCACGAGTTTAGCCTAGGTGGGCCAGGTCAAAGTGGGCCGGGTTGGCCCACGGGTCCCCGCCCACTTTGACAGCTCTACCTAGGGGTGTTCATGGATCGATTTTTTTTTTTGAAAAAACCGATCCAAACTGAACCGAACCGTTTTATAAAAGTGGATCAGTTAACCGATACATTTTTTATAAAGTGGATCAGTTTGGTTTATTTAAAGTATGGATCGGTTTTTTTGAAATTGGATCGGTTCGGTGCGGTGTGGTTATCTACTTTTTACTCATATATGGATCAATTTTTTTAAAAAATCAAACCGAACCGAACGGACCCACTTTGTAAAAATGGATTGGATAACTAAACCGGTTTTACAAAGTGGTTCGGTTCGGATTTTTTTTCAAAATAGATCGGATTTTTCAATATGAATCGGTTCAATTATAGATCGGTTCAGATCAATTTGAATTTTTTGTACACCCCTACACTAACCTACTAGCCATGAAAGTATAAATTATGAAACAAGACACCTTTTTGAAAAGATAAATTTCATCTCCTTGCTTTGAGATTTTTTCTCAAAAGAAGTGAGTGCTCATATTGTAAAATAATGCTTTTTTACCATGAGAATGAAAGATCCAAAGAGAATTAATTACTTGTTTTTTTTAATGATATTAGGATGATTTTATGAAGGATAATAAGTGTATCTGTATAACGAGTATTTAATTAGTGGGATATTAGTAATATATTACTCTCTTTCCAAACTCTATTATCAGCTGAAATTTCATGCTATTCCGTTAGGCTAAAAACCTAATTTGGTCCCTTATAATCTTTTTTTGTTTCAATTTAGTCTCTCATTAATTTTTTGTCTCAATTTAGTCTCAAACTAATTAATTAGTTTCAATTTAGTCCCAAATTAATTAATTGGTTTCAATGTGGGGCTTTCCGTCCAAATTGCTTTAACGGTGTTAACTTTTGGCCACGTGGATGTCATGTAGATGCATACGTGAATGCCACGTGGATGAGAATTTTTTTTAAAACACCTGGACCCAGAACGGCCCGTTCTGAAACCGGAACGGGCCGTTCTGGGTGCACTTTTGGTGTGTTAATTTTGCATCCGGAACGTCTCGTTCAAGGTGCAAAATTAACACACCGAAAATGCAACCAGAACGTCCC